TGACCGAGTTGCGAGAGTCTAAACCTAAATCCTGGAGCCCTAGAGCTCTTAAACCCCTAAACCCTATACTGAACCCCTAACCCTATACCCTAAACCCTAAACCCTAAACCCTAAACCCTAAACCCTAAACCCTATACTAAACCCCTAAGGTCCGATGAATACTTGATGGAACACTACGGCGATATCATCCTGGACCAGGCCGGGAGTCAAAGACCTCAGACCACAAATCCTGACTCCAGAGTTCACGGTTTGGGGCTCAGGGCTTTGGGTTTAGGGCTTAGGGTTTAGGACTTTGGGTTTAGGGTGACTCCAGGATGGAGGGTCTTTCTGCCCTTGCTGTAGAATCCAACGACTACGCCTTGAGCCCTGACAACTCCACCCCAAGCCCAGCCCACCACCAATTCCTAAACAGATTCTCTCCCCTAGGACATTTTCAGGTGGGTAGTTTCCGTTAGTTTGCGTTATAGGAGCCTTATAACAGAAGGTCTATATACCTGTAGTTTCCTTTAATCTCCTGCGTATCTTATATACAGATTCCAGAGGAATACAAGGCCGACCACCCGGTCCCAATCTAGATTCAGGCTATAGGGGCCTTGATAATCACCTATACTATTTCGGGGTTGCTTATCATATTTATAGTATAAGATGCCCAAAACCCTGTTCTGCTTATTGCGGCCCCTACATTATGTGTCCCAAGCGTTCATTCCGGAAAGAGCAGTGCAGTACATATCTTTCAGGACGAACGGCTATCGTACTGGATTTCGTTTCAGGCGGAGTGTTTTCGGAAGAGCTTTACAGTGCGACCACGCCTCACCACCCTGAGAAGCTGTGCAAGAAAAGAGACGCTTCACCAGGCAAGCAGATGCGTGGACAAGAGCCCCAAATCAGCCCTAACCCCCAACCCTAGACCCTCAACCCACCATTATCCCAAAACCCAAACCCTAAGCCCTCGTGTAGGGTTTAGGGCTCAGGCCTACGATCCCGAAACCCCTAAACCCCAAAGCCACTTAAAACCAAGTCGCCGGCAGGTGGAGACGGAGAAAAAGGAGACCAGGAGATGCCCTTCCGTAGGATTTAGGGTTGACGGTCTTCGGGCTTTAGGGTTTAAGATTTGTAGGCTTAAGGGTTTAAGGATTTAGGGTTGACGATCTAAGGGGCTTCAGGGTTTAGGATGTCGGGTTTAGGGCTTAAGATGTAGGGCTTAAGGGTTTTAGCTTTTAGGGTTTGGGGTGTTTCCCGGCTGCTTGCAAGAGTCCTGGATGCAAAAGGGTTTGGGGTGGTTTAGGGTCTAGGGTATAGCGGCACTTCAGAGAGACCTGGTTCAAAAAGGGTCTAGGGGTTGCGAGCATATCATATATTCTTTGATGCTGGGCCGTTTCCTCGGGATTGACATGCTCGAAGGTATGGGGTCGATTGTCTGTCATGTCGAGCCACTAGCCTGGTTTGAGGCATTTTTAACCCATCTAACTCGAAGCTCAAAGCCCTGCAAGCATATGGTCGAGGATGGATTCAATCCGAAAGCAAACGACCTCCACAAAGACCCTGAGTAGGTGCAGACCCAAACTCCCATTTGGACCCGACGGTAGTTTAGATCTACGGTGTGCGACTTCTGGGCGTGTGTGCGGGGGTTCCTTCCTCAGCAGAAAGACGTGTGCTGTCACCACGTGGGGCCCAGATCGGCGGATGCTAGCATGAGGTACCGTCAAGGTTGAAAGGCTTAAGAAATGGGGCCTTGCTGACGTGAATAGGGTTTTGGTGCAGGCTGAACAAAAAAAGGTACGGTAGGGAAAACATTAGGTAATGGTTCAGGCTTTCAGATTACCAACATCGTGTAGGCGAGTGTAGGAAGATAAGGGCAGGACGAGACAATAAGGTACCCTGCATTTGGAAAAATCAAGGAAAAGAGCATTTCCAAGACTTTACACAACTCTGTACAATTTTCAGCTCGAGCACGCGCATGGACTGCCTAAATTTGTTACTCTCAATTGATTCAGCAAAACCCCGGTTTGCAGCAGCCCAGCAAGACCTCGCCCTTCGTCTGCTGGCATGCCTAAGCGAAGATGCGACTGCTGCTTTTGCTGTAGGCTTGGGGTCCAGAGCACATTATCCGATGAATCTCGGCAGCTGTTGTGCTTCTCACATCTCACGACGGTTTAGGGTTTCTGGTTTAGGATTCACAGCCGAGGAGGAGGATGGGAAGACACAGCTGCACTGTTGCTGACCTATATTGGCTCAAGGGTGTAGGTTGGATGCTGGGCCAGGATCACTGACGCAGTGCTCCTCATGTGCTGCGGGGCCGCACTCTGTCCGGGGAAATTTCGGATCTCACATAGACACCAATCTCCATGTGAGCAGGTTTGGCCACACGTGAAAGCAGTTGGTTTGGCTTCTGACTCGAAACACATGCGCCCAGAGGAAACTCAGAATGGGGCTAAGTTGTCTAATGGCTAGGGCTCCTGTTGTCCTATTGCTATGCAGCTTAGTTCTGTCAGGAATATTCCGCATGTCCTAACAATAATGCCAGTTTGATTTAAAGACCAGTGCTAAGTTCAGATTTTCAGACAGATCTGCAAGAACATGTGCCGGAGGGGCCGAGGAAAAGTCGCCATACAAGCACGTGAAGGATCCCAGGGAGCAGCAAGTGCAGTTGAAGGCAAGGCAGCTACAGTTGTATCTACTTACAACCCCAACTATGTAGGACAACTAGGATTCTTGTAATCCTACTCGCTAGTTATCCATGAAAAACTAAGTGCCTTATGACACTTAACTACCACAAAGGAGCAGGGGGGGCTACCAAAGCGTTGCGAGGACCTTCTCTTGTGCCGGCCAATTACGTTGTGGCACTACGGCATTTAAGGCAGCTGCCGGATACCTCAAAAGCGCATCTTTCAGAGGAACCTTATTCTAGTAATGGCCCTTGCGGCATAGTATCAGTATCATAGGCCTCTTATAGTACCCCTTGTAGCAGCTTGTCGTGGAATCCTTGTCGGAACCCTCTTCTAGCTTTTATGAGCCCTACATTGGACCCAAAACCCTGAACCTTATGCAAAACCCTAAACTCTAAACCCTAAACCCTCACCAAACCCTACTACACCCCAATCCCTCCCCGTGAAACCCTAAGCCCCCCGAAGCGTTAGTCTAATTCTTGCGATGATGTCAGACAAAACCCTCCCGAGGCCTGGGCATGGCGCGTCTCTTCCTTGCAGGCCCCTGGAGTTTAGGGTTTAGGGCCCAAAAACTTGGGGTTTAGGGTGCAAAAAAAAGTTCCAAAAACTTGGGGTTTGGGGTTCAAAAAGGTTCAAAAACCTGGGGCTTGGGGTTTAAAAGGGCTCAAAAACTTGGGGTTTAGGGTTCAAAAAGGGTTCAATCACTTGGGGTTTGGGGCTAGGGCACCTGGGGTCTGGCATCTGTACATCCGTGAGCTTAGGGACGTAAGCCATGGACTGCAAGCTCTGCTTTCGTGTGCACTAAAGTCCGATACCCCAAAGCTGACATAAGTTAGAACTGTAGCCTGGTGGTTGGGCAGTCTTAAGCCCAAAAAAGGCTTGCCCGGAAGACAAATCGAGTTTTAGGGTTCGGGGCTTCTGTGGCTAGTCTGCTAGTCTGCCTTCCAGGTCGTACGATAACGTAGAGATGTGTATTGTTGGGCAATCTCTCGGGTTAAAATGTGAGGTCACTTTGGAGAAGTTCTGGCTGCATGAAGGCTTTGATCGACTGCGAGGACCAACAGCCCATGTTCTGAGAAGCACGCCTAAAGAAAGCAGAATGACTTGGAGTTGCGAATACCAAAGCCATGGCCAGGTTTCTGGTTATGAAGCCGAAACCCAAAACCTTGATGCTTATGGGGTTTCTTTCTTTGTTAATTCAAATCGCTGAACCTCCCTGCTCTGTGCTGGTTCATTCACTATTGTTCATGTTGGCCCGAAGCCCCAGAACCCCACGCCCAAACCCTGGGTTCTGAACCCTACAAACCTGTATCCTCAAAGAAGCCCTTTTCAGGCAGTTTGGCCTGGACTGCCAGCTGCATCACCCTTACCCCGCAGAATGCCGAGGAACTCAGCCTCTTTGCCACTTTAAGGCCCTAAACCCTAAACCCTAAACCAAACTTTAAGGTTCAGTTTGAGTGTAGCATTTAGAAGGTCGGAGTTTGACGGTTTAGGGTTTGGGGGTTTAGAGTTGAGGATTCAGGTACTTTCACATGATCATATCCACTTGAAGTCTCTACATAGAAATACTATATAGGGTATCAAGATATGCACCTGTTCCCTCGCAGTCCGTATATAGGAACTTCATAACATACTCCACACCTGGTCTCATTCATCAGCGCACTGTTGTGTAAAGCCCCAGACAACACGCATATCTTGACTCCCCAGAAAACAGGGAGACAGCTTGGTGAGCTGTTCCTGTTCAGCGTATGATAGGGGCCTTAGGGGCCTTACGAATTACATATGCTATTTTGGGGATTCCTTCTTTATACTTAAAGTATAGTATCCCCCAAAACCCTATTCTACTTCTTAAGGCCCCTACCTTATGACCAAGGAAGCTGACGGCATTGACAAGCGCATGATGTATCTCATGTATTGACTCGTTTTCACCACGTTGTAGCCTGGAATGACTTACGCCGTAGTACTGTCCAACACAGTAGCTGTGTGTGAGTAGATGTCCCAGGTTGAAAGTGTCAGGCTTGCAGGCTTGTAGGCGTAAGGGTTCATGATGGACAATACTATTGCACTGGCGGAGGACATGTGCTGCATCTGGCATTTGTATGCGGCATAGATTGGCATAGGATGTGAAGCAGTGCAGCTCCAATGGCGTAGGGGCCTGGGGCATGTCGCCTTTCTTGGTCGTCCTGGCACTAGCAATCTAAGCATTTAGGGCTTGATTAAGGTCAGCATCGCGAACGTTTCCTGCTCACGGTGGTTCACATCATAGCACGACTAGGTTAGTTCTTGTACCTCGCCCCTCCCGCGCTTTGCAGTTTTTGGCCCCATGAGACTGAGGAAAAGCTGCAGAGGACAGCAGCTTCGATCCTATCGCTTGTCCTGGGATCGATGAGGAGGGGCTGGTTGTCAATGTTTTCAGGTTTCTTTTTCTGAGGTTTGGGTTGTGCACAGCGCACAACCATAAAGAGTGTCTGCATTCATGACCAAGAGAGGATAGGATAGGATGAACAGCAGGACCTGGAATTCGCGCACGAGCAGACAGTCAAGCTTGCGGGCTTGGGGCATCGACTTCTGTTCTATTCTTTGCTCATTGAGAATGCAGATGCACAGTACGTAGGTGTTGTTGGCATTCAGATTTCAGCTGTGTGTGCATTTTCCATTCATGACTGATAGATGACTGCACCCTCTGCATGCAAGACTTCCCCTCCCTTTGAATGCCGAAGCCACAGCAAGATTCACACATCCAGTATGATTCAATTCATGAAGTACCGCTTCCTCCGCAAACGGCAAACGGCAGGAGCCCACTGACACAGAGAAGGACTTCGCTACGGACCCGGTCTGGAAGTACCCGGTCGGAAATGCTCTACGCGGGACATTAGTAGGAAAAGGTGTGAAGTGTGAAGGGCTGGGAGTGATATTATTGAACATGTAGTACACAGTCTTCGAGCTCCCATTCAAGCCTGTGCTATAAAACCCGAGACTGGGCACAAGGCCAGCGCAGTAGAAGCATTGCGGCCAGAAAAGTTTCTCGATTCAATGAACCCACGAATCTTGACACAGTAGATTCAGTAGATGGACTGGACTTGCCGCTCGGGCTGACGGTGGTTCTTTCTTTGTACCGATGGTGTTTGTTGCATGCATCCAGCTCTGGCTTATATAGCCGGTGTTCCGATCATCTGTTGTCGCCGCACATGTTCAGGTACTTCACTTACGACACCTTCGACAGCCGCACGCCACTAGCCTGCATGCAGTGTCATGCCCACGGTGCGTGATGTGACGCCCCGCCATGCCCTGAACGCTACAACCAAACCTCAAACCAAACTACCACCCTGTGAGAGTACATAGTAATATTGGAAACAGGAGAACATGCAGAGACAAATATCACCGCAACCCAAGAGCTTGCGCAGGTGCATCAAACTCTGTAGACAGTTAGAAGTTATAAGTTATAAGTATTTATACATGCAGATAAGCCTTTTCACTCCCGAGAACCAGCACCCGAAATGGCATCCTAAATCGAGGGAGGGATGTGATACGGCTCAGGATATTCGAGTAGGTGGCCATCGTACAGCCGTGGTTACAGGCTCTTGGGCATCCTAGCCCTCTCTATCTCCCGGATAGCTACATACCCGGAGGGTCCAAGTACCCACTGTTTAAGGACTTTGGGGCCTTTTGGGTACTTAACACCATAAATAAGGGCTACTTGGACCCTTAGGGATAGTGTTTGTTACGCAAACTTTACAGTTTAAGGTTTTCTGACCCAAAGCTGGCTTAAGTTGGCGGAAAATTAACTCCACGACTCCACAACTGAGATTAGCCAGCTGTGGCTTGTCCCTTTGATGGCAACTCGCTGGCTCTTATAGGGCTTAAACTTGTTCGCGGCTGGATGTCTATATGTCATATGGATGGATAGAGTTGCCAGCATCCAGCAGTTGCATGGCTACATCGCTGCCAAAGGGTCGGCTCGATCGCAAAGAATCGGGCCGGTTTATTCTAGCCGGAGAGTCCACCCTAAATCATTTCCGTCCGACGACCACTCCCGAAATGCCCCCTAAACCCGATTATAAAATCTAAACCCTGGTTGCCTTGTGCGGGAGTGAGAGTCGGAACCCCTATATAAGCCCTAAACCCCTAAACCCTACCTTAACCCCAAAACCCAAACCATAGACCCCCAAACTCTCGAAGCCGAGGTGGAAGGTTCTGGACGGTCTGGAGACTTGTCTCCGGAGCGTGCCGGGTGGAACTACCAATCCATGGGTCGGCGCCGCCGATTTGTGGGAGGCAAGCTTTCGGTTCAGGGTTTAGGGTGGCCTAGAGTCGGATCCGCGGTCTCTCAGGTCTCTTGCTGTTTAGAAGGGCTTTAGGTGTAGAAGCCTGAATAATTACCAAAATCACTCTTACTGTAGGGTTCCTTGTTGTGGTAATACTATAAAGGAGCCCAAAACCCTATTCTAGTTATTAAGGCCCTTACATCAAGTGATTACAAAATAATGTTTGGGATTTAGGAGATCCAGCTCGAAAGCAAGCTTTGCAGCGACGGTTCCTGCCCAGTGCCTCAGTCAGTCATGAGAAATAGGGTTTAGGGTTGAGGGTTCGTGCGATGTGCTGCGAGGGAAATTGGCCGGGTGAGCTCCAATCAAGCCTGTGTAAAAGGGTTCGTGTTGGGTTTGGCCTAGACACTACGGGGGACGGCATAGAGCTCAAGCAAAAGTAGGGTTTGGGGTCGAGTATCGTCTAGTATTCCATAAGCCCTAGCACTGTGCCTGATCGGTACTTGAGAGAAAAGAAGACGACTTCAAGGACTACTGTAAGGGGCCGAAATAAATTACCTGTACTTTATTTTTTTGGGGGGGTTCCTTATTATAAGTCTAGTATAGTATACCCCAAAACCCTGTTCTAATGATTCATGCCCCTACGATTAGCAACTGTCTGAAAACGAAGAAAGTTCAGGGTGTGTTCAAACATTCAGGCGATTGCCCTAAACCCTAAACCCAAAACCCTAAACCCTAAACCAAAAAAGGGTTTGCGGCAGGGAGCCCTGCTCTGCTCCATGTGTCCTTGAGGTCTACGGTTTCAGATTTTTGTTTAATGCTTTTAGGGTCAGGGTTTCTTAAGCTAGCGTAGGGGCCCGAATAGTTGCGGTATAAGGTTTAGGATTTAGGGTTTAGGGTTTAGGCTCTAGGGCTAGGGTTTACTTAAGGTTTAGGGTTCAGGGTTAGTTGCTACGGTTTCAGATTTGGCAGTGTACCTTATTTGGGGGGTCCTTATTGTAAGGATCCTACTACTTAGGATACTATATTAGGGTCCCCTATTTTCGGAAACCTCCATTTAGTGGCAAACTTCTACCGGCTTGGCAGACCGGTAGATAATCGCCTCATTGCTTCCCTCGAACATCCTCAGCCCAAGAGAGGTTCGTTAAGAAACAGGAGCCCCAACGCCCAAACCTTGAACCCCAAGCTCTAAGCATTAAAGAACCTGAACCCTAAACCCTTATCTCTCCACCCTATACCAAAACCAAGCAAAAAAAAAAAAACATAACTTCAACCCTAAACCCTAAACCAAAGCCAAAACCAAGTACAAAAGGAACTTGAGAACCCAAAACCCTCAACCCTAGACCACCAAAAACAAAAAAGTGAACCTGAACCCCGGCCTTGGCTGTGCCCCGGGCAAATCCATGGAGTCCCGAAGCAAAAAAACAAACCCCGGCCTCGGGAGGCCCAAGAGCTGATCTATAGACAACTGGGGGAGACGGCCGGGCCACATATTTGGAGGCGGCAAGGTTGGATTGCTGCTTGGCGTTTTAGGGTTTTAGGGTTTAGGGTTTAGGGGTATAGGGTTTAGGGGTTTAGGATGTTTTGCAGATTGCGATGAGGTCTCCGAGGGCTTTTGCCTGGGCTTATAGAGCGCATAGAGCTTTCAAGCCTTATGGGGGTGGAAGGCCTAAATGCAGATAAGAGCAGTGGGCTTCGATGGTTTTTGGAAGTGAAGAGATAGAGATTCGGGTTTGCGATGCATAATGGCATGGCTCCCTGGTCCACAACTTAATTCTTGCAAGGGATCTAAGTGTTCGCGGTGCAGAAACTCGGTTGAGGATGCTTTGATTTACACTCGCCCGGAGTGCACCACCCCTCAATGAATTCGACAACCTCCAGTCCTGCTGCTTCCACGCATATTCCTCTTTTCAGGGTTGTTGGGACTTCTGGCAACCCTAAACTGGGTTCTTGTTAAGGGATTTAATTTAAGTTGCGACAATAAGGAAACCGTATTATTTATTATAGATCCCTATTATGGTAACTTAAATTAAATCCCTTAACAAGAACCCAGTAAACCGTGGTTGAGGGACGGTTCTGGAGCCTGGAAGTCTCAGCGCCTGAAGTCGAATGTTGGGGTTTTGCAAAACATGTTACCGTATAGGTTTTGTGAGGTCGTAGGATCTGCATTATGATTATGAGGGCCGACTGTAGGCAGACTGTGTCCTCTAAGAGGTCATGGGTCGTATCGAAACCAGGTTTAATGATAAATTAGGGTTCCTTTTTGGGTCCCCAATATAGTACGACACCCTTTTAAAAAGGACCACACAAGGGACGCTAATTTAGAAAACTACCAAAATCCCAGGAGCATGACCCGATCGCGAACAACCAAACCGTCCTTGGCTTGTCTGTGGCTCTAACGGCGCCCATGATCCCCGGCAGCAATTTCATATAAGCTGTCCTGGGCTTTAGATCCCAAGCCATAACCCCAAGCTCTATGTAAAGCTGCAGTCTTTAACCACATGTCCTATCTAACAGCTCAAGCAAAGATGGGCACGAGACAGGACCCTGCAAGAGCGCCACAACAGCGATTCAGGGGCTTCTCTAAACAAGTCACCGATTTTGCCTAAAGCCCTAAGCTGCTCAGAACCATCAATATCTCATAATAGGACCTGGCTTAGGGCTCGGCTGTCTGAGCCAGCTGACTGGGTTAACCCTTTCTGGGTTTGAGCTCTAGGGTTAAGGGCTCTCTGTGTATTAAGGGCTTGTGCAGGGACAAGAATGGAAACTCAAGCTCGCACTGTAAGAATGCAGCTTGGACATGTGCTCGTGGAGTAGGTGTACTCGGTTCTGTGCTGGTTTTGATTCCTCGGTTCTGCATCCTTCTTGTGTATGTAACACTGCATGGGTGCATGTATGCACGTACGCATGTACGTATTCATGTACGTATGTGTGTGTGTGTGCGTATGAGTATACTGCCTCTATGTCTTATGTAGTGTATGTATTTGATGTGTATGTGTATATGCATATATATATATATATATGTATACACATACCAGTATACACATACCTATATACACCTACATATGTGTACACAGGTTAATACAACATGCATCTATACATATATTCGTATGTATGTGTATATGTGTATATATATCTAAATATATATATATATATATATACATACATACACGCTGTTTTACTTATATGCTATATATATATATATATACTCTACATACAAACATACACAGATGCATCCATGCATACATACACGAACACATGCGCACATGCGAGTTGTCGCATAGACGTGTCTCCTGGTACAGGCGCTTCATGTCTCAGGCTGTGGTTTATGACTCTATGTCCGCACATGCGTCTGGAACTCCACCTCAGAAGCAGCATTCCTTAACATGCTGGCCCCTTTAATGGCCCCCACGCCTCTCCGACCAAGAGTTGACGGCTTGATTAATATGATTCCTGTGACTTCCTCGACCTTGGTTCGGTGGGGTTCGGTGGGTTTAGGGAGAGGTTCGGGCTTCAGGGCCAGGGTTTTTAGGGTTTTAGGCTTTAGGCTTCAGGGGGTCTATGGTTTAGGGTTAATAAAGGGGAGTTGAGTTTGGGTAGAGGGGGATTTAGGGTGCCTTAAGATTGACCATTAGCAGAAAGGAAGCAACGCAACAACAAATCTGCCGGCCAAAAAAACACACATTATGGACACCCAACTTTTAGGTTGCGGCTTCAATAAGCCCGGCCCAAAACGCATTGTAGAGGCCCACCGGTTTAAAGGGGCCACCGCATTACGACGCCCATGAGAATGTTTTCGCGCAGCCGACAGAGATTCCATGGAAGTAGTCGTAGAAGCCCAACCGACAGGCAAAAGACCCACTGGGTTCACCCCAGGCAGCGCAGCACGCGGCAATTAATGACCACGGAATATGTGCTGGAAGCTCAATACGCAGGGCTTCCTCAGTATGATGGAAGGGAAACCCTGAACCAAGCGGAGTTAGCATGGACTCCTGACAAGCAATATTGCTTGCCCCGGCCCTCTTGACATACCATTGATGATATAAATCATGCATTATAACCATAATAAGGAATTTCCAATTCCCATAGTTTAGGGTCCTTAATAAGGTAATGCAGGGTTTATATCATCAACCGTAGGGGTATACTGAACCCTGAAGTGCCCAAGGGCCGAAATGCCGACCGCTGACCCCGAGCCTTAAACGCTGAGCTCGTGAAACACCTTAATATACCTTACCCTAAGGGTCCAAATACCTAATAATCATATACTGTCCCAAATAGTAACCTACATAACTACGATCAGAACCTAAGTACCGTATTACTGGGTCCTTTGGACCCTTGGGGCTAATAACAGCCTTAGCAAGCCAGGAGCAGCATCGGAGCCCAGTCTTCACTGCAGCAGCCCTGACACTGGGCAAAATTTCGTGCTTTCTTCATAAGGCGTTGAGGGCGTAAGCCATGGGTTTCAGGGGGTTGTGGCGTTTGGCGTTGCAGGGTGCGGAGTTTAGGGCATGACTCCTGAAAAGCAAACAAACGCTGAGACTTGCGCACACCTACTGGAACGATGGAAGGAGGCAGATGCCCGCAGATTGAACCGAAGCTGGTCGTTATGGCAGGACGTAAATTCAGATGTTAGTTCTCTCGCCATCATTGATGTCACTGCCTTTTTACCGTTTTGGTTGGCCTTTGCTCCGGTCGCATCTTCTTCCGAAGATTACACATTGGCACTGTCAGCATGATTACAAACACCTTGTCCAATTTTTGGGAACTGCCTTCAAGCTCTACCATGGTTGCAAAACCTGCCTCCTGCTGTCAGACCACGGTGCCTCAGGTGCTGGTTTTGTTGCACAGATGCACACAAAACACGCGAAGCTAAGCACATGCTTCAAGCATCGGACTCACTGTCTGTGACATCTTGGTGACGTCGAGGTCGACAACATATCACCACACACTTGCCCAAAATGATTTCGGGGTTCCGACGAGTCGTTGACGAAACCTTACGGAAAAGGGATGTTCATTTGCGAATCCACAGCCTTTCTTTCTGCGATCGTGGAGAGATCCCTCATGAGCCTACCTGTGTGAGCGGGTGTCTTGCATTTCGTGTAGAGGGGGGCTTCCGGAGAATCTCCACATTTAGCGCGCTTCTGGCCTGCTACTACGATCCAGCCATAATGATTCATTATGATTCTCTGCTGCATCTGGACTGCTACTGCATGCAGTCTCAGGCAACGCGCTGTCCAATGCGGCGTTCTTCGAGGTTTCCCTAACAGCCTGTGCTTGGGCTGCTACCAAGTTTTCGATTTGGCCTTAGGGTGGTTTTCCGTTTATGCGGTTCTAAGGGTTTCGGAGCTTTCGGCGTCGGGGCTTCATTCTGACTATGAGGGCCCTTACATCATGTTCAGCCCCGGCCACTTTGCAACCTGCAGAACCTTAGCGAATCCTGCCAAGCCCTAAGCCCGGAGTGATCGAACGAAAAGAAGTGATCAGGTGGGATGACCTCAACGACAAAATTTAAATCCGAAGCCCTATAACCCTAAGGCTCCATGTGCCCATATAGTAGATACTTAGGCCTTAAAGTACCTATAAAGACCTAAGTATCTACTATATGGGTACACGGAGCCTTAGGGTAAACGAAAAGGCGAGATGACCCTCAGCGACTTCGGCGGAAGCTGGCCTTGGCGAGATGAGATCATCGCTGCAGGACTCTTTGCGTAAATGTGCTGCAGCCGACCAGTCAATACTAAGCATAAACCCAATATCAACAGTTAATGCAAGCGATATCGGGCCTAATTAGTAAAATGGCACAGGGTGTCTTTATTCGTCGACACATGAAGCAGGGGCATAGGAGTGGGTACAAGTTTCATATCGCGGTCGGCCATACCTTTGTCCGAAAATCATCTTGGCCCTATCCCAAGTGTTGGTCGTAGGTCTAAGGCAAACAAAAATAGATCCTTCATCAACACTTACGTCTTGGTACTACTTTGGGTGCCCTTTTTATAGGTATAGCTGAGGCCTCTTAAGGTTTAAGGCCTGCTGTGAGGCTTAGGATTCGAGGAGTAATTCGAAGTACGCCTCTTCACAGGAACCCACGCCTCCTGTACTACCATGGAAAATGTTGACACCAGACAGGTGCCTTGATGGCCTTTGGCTCTTTTGCCATGCACGGCAACCCGGCCCCTCGGATTCTTTGTGGATTTGCTGCAGGTTTGGGGGTTTGTTTTCATGTGGGTTCAGCGTTCATTTGGAGTTGATTTCGAATCAGAGTTTACCTTCGATTCGATTTGACTTGTTGTTTCGTTCATCCCGTTGTTTTGTGGACAGGGCCAAGTTGTTTAGGTTAGGTTCAGGTTAGGCCTCAGGATGGAAGATTTGACCTTGCCGGCTTGCTGCAGATACCTTGAAGAAGTCCACAAGCCTGGGGGGCGTTGCGATCGGAGGACTTTGCAAACGGCTTGGGGGTTCCGCAGTACCCACCTGCTTGTCTCTAGCAAGAAATGCCCACGAATTCGTGTGTACAAGGCAGGGCTGAACTTGTTCCGTTGACTGCTGTCGTTTCCTGGTGGATGCGGCGAAATGGTGCACATTTGAATATGCGGTGCCCATCTGCTCGCAATTCATAGTTCTTTAAGCTCCAAGGCACAGGGGAATGGCCCCGTGACAGTGGGGCTACGATGACCCTTTGGTGGGGTTTCGAAAACCTACCATGCAAAGAAAGCGGTCACTGGTTTCCTGCATTTTCTGAAACTCTCATATGCATTCAGGTTTCTTGACTCGGCGTTCGTCTCGTTGGCTGTTAGGAGCTCTCACTGTGGGGTTCTTTGTGTTGAAGTTCTGGTGATACTCGTAACTAATAAATATAGCATGTTGAGGTAGATTCAGGAGGGCTGATGAGCTGTGGTATCAGGCTAGCGCAGCTTGGCGACCGCCGAGGTGTATACGACCAATGCCGACGATCCACTGAATAACGTCTATGACACCGGTATGATGGATCGTGTGTCGATGGCTGCTTGGCCAATCTTCTGAATTGCACAGGCAGCTGAGAGCCTCGACTAAGCTCTTTGACATCACTACCACTTGTGAAGGATGTCCTCTTCTTTGGATTTCACCAAGCCGCCGTGCGGTTTATGGCCGTGGACCCAAACGATCCGAACTTGGGCGTCATCCTGGGTGTGCTTCAGGCGGGTCTGCAGCTCGGGGTTCAGGGTCGGGTCCCGGAGGGTTTCATGAAATTGTATAGGGTGTACCCTAAACCCTAAACCATAACGGTTTAGGGTCTAGGGTTTAGGGCTACTGGGCTTCCGGGTGTGAGGCGAGAACGGGTTCAGGGTTGAGGGCTGCAGGAAGCGTTAGCATCACTAACCGGCATAGCTCGCCGCGCCGCTTTCACAAGGACAAAACCAAGAATACGACTGATGGTGTGAACTGTTGCCACAAGCAAGTAACACACTATACAATACGATACTCTCGTATACTGTAATAAACCATAGTATGCTGTAATATGCGGTATCTGCTATAATTATTAGTACATAGCAATCCAGACCTCACAGGGTTTAGGGGTTAGGCTTTAGGGCTTCAGGATTGTAGGGTTTTAGGGTTTAGGGTTTGTCCCCCTAGATGACCCAAGGGTCCGATGTCAAGTCTAGACGTGTTGGCCTCGCGTCGCGCAGGAGCAGAGGCCGGTGTTTTGGCCTGCGGCAAATCCCTCGTTCTCAGGATTATAGCACGCGTTGCCAACTCAAAAACTCCAATCCTTGAGCCACCGGGTTGCCATTCGGGTTTAGTTTACATTTTCGGAGCCCTGAAAGGGTCCCGGCCCCAGGTGTCTTGAAACTCCTCTGTTTGTCCCGTGACATCGCTTCGAGCATTCCCTCAACCTCTAAACCCGAAACTCAAGAGGTTGGGATACATCCCTGCAAGCTCGAGGGCGAAGCAAAACCTACTACTGCCCCTCGACCCCTAAACCCTAAACCCGAAACCAAGCGAAAAGCCTGAAGCTTTCTAAAGTCGAGGGGTCGCCGGATGATCCTGCGACTAGCGGGCTGTGCCAACTCACACCGGAATCTGGGTCCTTTATTAAGGCTTACGTGTTTGTCTTTTTTTGAAAAGGATTTCTGATGGTTTTTGCATGGGGACTTCAATGTGCTTTGTCGGCGTTTATAAGGTTGTACAGGGGTGATTGTGCTGGACTTCAGGTCAGTAACTTGAGCTTCGCGAGGGTTTTTTGAAGGTTCTCCTCACTCACCTTACCATAGTCTAGTACCAGCACGGGTATAGGATGCAGTCTTGAATGTGCCATCCTTGTTCCATCTCGGTTGCTCTGTTTTGTTTAAGTTCCTCATCAAGAACTCAGGGATGCACCTATGGCGACGCCCGGGAAGCAATCCGCCTCTATGAGCAGGCGCCGTGGAGCTCCAGTCTTGAACCCGGTTTATATCGGGATTCCTGAGAATGATTCAGGGTTCCGCGTATGGGGTTCTGGTTCTGGTAAAACGGATGATGTCATCTACGTTGGGGTGTCTCTGACAGTTCTGAAACTGCGATAGTACACTCTCGACAATGAAACAGGACTCATGGCAGTACTGATTGGGGTCCTGTAACCTGATTGCACTTGGCATTGAACTTGCCGAAGTACGAATGCACATCCTCATGCAGGCATCCGCGCTGAATATCAGCATGGAGGCATACATATAGCATATTTGTATGCAGATATGCGCATATACGGATGGATGTAAAGGCCTGCAGGTACAGCATGGTCCCCCACCGCAGACCCGCATGCCACCCACAAGGTGCGGGGAGTTTCGTTCACAGGCTGTCTGGTCGAAACAGAGAATTACGATCGTTGTTCTAGCCTCAAATACTAACCCGTGTGACCAAGCTAAAGCACTAGCTTGGTAGGTCCTTGGTCGAGGTGTTGTTTTTGGGAGTGTTCGGATTAATACATTGCTCCCTGAGGTGGTGGGGTTCTTCTTATCAAGGCTGCCAATACACCGCATCAAACCATTACTTTGATAGGACCTCCTGTAATTAATGCAGTTTGTCTACATGGGTAGTTCTCCAAATTAGGGTCCCTTTTTAGGTGCCCAATGTCGTATGGCACCCTTATATACAGTACTTCAAACGGGACCCGAATTTAGAGAATTACCCTTATAGGAGTTTCTAGTTAGAAACCCTTATACATCCCTTGAAGGATCCCTAAGTTAGACACTCCTTAGTTAGAAACCCTGGTAGACTCCTGTAAGAACACTTAAAAAACTCCTTAATTGGAACCCTTATAGATCCCTTTAAGACACCAAAAAATCCCCTTAATTAGAAACCCTTATAAATCCCTTTAAGAACCCCCTAAAAAACTCCTTATTTAAAAACCCTTATACACCCTTTACTTTATTAGAAACCTTTATAGATCCCTTTAAGAAGCCCCGAATTAGAACCCCCTTAAGATCCCTTGAAGACCCCCTAAATTAGACACCCCTTAGTTAGAAACCCTTATAGATCCCTTTAAGGACCCCTAAAAACCCTTAATTAGCCTTTTTAAGAACCCCTAAAAAACCCCTTAATTAGAAACCCTTCTAGATCCCTTTAAGAACCCCTAAACTAGACACCCCTTAGTTAGAAACCCTTATAGATCCCTTTAAGAACCCCTAAACCCTAAAAGTAGGAGGCAAAAAACCTTAAACCCTCCTAAACCCTAAACCCCTAAACGGTCACACGGAACCTCGCCAGGCTTGTCCCAGTTGTGAGTGCTGAAACGGGACCGTTGGTCTCGAATGGTTGATCTGGTTCGGGCCCAGGTGTTGGCTGGACCTCCCAGCGGCTGGGGTGTCATCAACGACATGCGGAGACTTGGTGAAGAAATCTTAAGCCGATATTCATAGGTTTGGGGTCTAGGGTTTAGGGTTTAGGAAGCTGTGTAGAAGTGGTCCGCCGATGAGTGATCCGTCGGCGTTGTTCGAGGCAGGGGTGGCACAACACGTGGCACTACTGCTGCGATGTCCTGGCATTGTGGCACTGTTCAAGGGATCCTTCAAGTCAGGCGGAGTCCGGTTGCATCCAGCCCCCCGACTGAACAAGTAAAACCCTGCAACTTGTTTGCCCAGGTATTCGGTCCCGGAATACCGCATTGCAGCCGTGGCAATGACATTGACCCTAGGCTTGGATTTCGTGCGGTTGTGTTAGATGCTCGTGATTCGATATCCTGCCTTGCACCTAGTTGATGCTACGAGCTCGTTCAACATTATCGGTTCTCCTGCAGCCAGTGCATGTCGCCCACTGCTTTTTGACCATTTCTCCTACCGAGTCGGATGTCGTTGAGAAATAACTGCAGCAGTGGTAACGGCGGCACCAGGAGCTACGCTGAAAATGATGGGTTCCTTTTCTAGGATCGTGGTTAGGGTCTGCATTGGGTTCTTTATTTCTGAAGCTTGCGTATGGCTCAGCACCTTCAGGCTAAAGGCTTGTTATGGTGGTTACACACTATGGTCTCGACTAGACACGTGGTCAGCAAGGCTTCAAGAAGGCGTTTGTTTAGCTTTGCCTGACACACAGCCCAAGTGTCACGCCTCGCATGCTACAACCTTGAAACGATGAACCCTAAACCCTCAACTCTCGACTTGTCCCTAACCCCCAGGTACCTACTATATAGGGCCCTAGGGGCTCTAGTACTCTATATAGTCGGTACCTGGAAGGTTACATTGTTTTCAGCTGGAATCCTAAGCACGTCCATCCTAAGCCCCGATGCCCTGGACACTAGAACCTGAGACCCTAAAACTTTGGAAACAGGCGAAAACCAACCCGTGAAGTCCGACAAAACCGATTAAACCCTGTAGCACCTGCAGAGACCTTATACGGACCTTACAAAACTAGCACGTTTAGAGTTTTCATAACATAATATTTTAAGAACCATGTAACATAGCTCTAGGATGGCCATACGGGGTATCGTCAACGACGAGCTGTTTGGCGCCGTCGCTCCAGAGGCCGACGTTAACCAGGTGTAGGGTGAGGACCTATCGGGTTAGGAGAAAAAGGGGTTTGTTTTAGGGCTCAAGGTTTCTGATGTGTTGGGGCATACGATTTCGGGTTCAGGGTTTCAGGGTATGTGGTTGTACGCGGCTCCCTTCAAGGGATGAAGAGTCTAGAGAGAAATGGGCGCTAGCCCATGGTTTTTCTCGGTAATGGGTCACACAACAAAATGGGAACGGGTCCTAGTAAGCCCCCAACTACAGCAACTTCTCTTGTCGGCTTACAGCACAACCTCTTACAAATACGCAAATATTGGCTTTCCATGTTACCTTCTCGAAGGCTTCACAAGTGGAGCGTGTATTGATTCAGATCCTCTCACAGGTCTGGTCTGCGGAAGATGTCGCAAGACATAGTGGGAGCATTCCTTCATCATGCCTACCATTCCCCACCACCAAGGCACTCTTGGCAGGCTGGATCTCAGCAGACATGGTAACATATCACAGGTACATAGTCTGTTTCTATTGCCCTACTTATTTTCGTAGATGCGTCCGATTCAACCTTCGGATCAGAATTGCATACACATACAGAGATGTAGGCTAATCATACATGCATGCATGCATGCATGCATGCATGAAAGCACACACACACATACACGCATAGAAACATACAGACATGCACATACACGCGCATACATGCATTATACAGACATGGACATGTACAGGGGTGCAGACCTACATACATACATACATACATACATACATACATACATACATACATACATGCACGCATGCATGCATGCATGCATGAATGCATGCATGCATGCATACATACACACATGAAAAAAAGGACATTGTGCAACTTTCGCACGGCAGACAGCTACATCACAGGCTACCTACAAGTCCAAGGCAATAAACCCCTCAATCACTACTGGTGAGTTTGCAAAGCCTCGGAGTGTTCTGCCTGGCCGAGGGTTTCGCCTTGGTGTGCTCCGTCATTGTGGATGCTCTAGACGCTTGTTTGCAGGATTCAGCCTTGGGGAAGGCGGGAGTTTCGACTTTATATCATTTAGAAGCATAATCTTAGATAATTACCGTTAATTACCTATACTATCTTGGGGGTTTCTTGCTTTAACTATACTAGACAGGACGCCAAAACCCTATTCTGTTTATTGAAGGCTCCTATACTAGAACCCTGAATCGGTTTAGGATTTAGGGGACCCCGAAGCCCGGACATTGTGAGGTTTCGGGGTTCTGGAGTCTGAAAGCCTGGCTGGTTCAGGGTTCCGAGTGCGAGCTCCGGGTTCAAAAGTGCGCTGTCTGCGTCAAGAGCATCAGCTTTCGAAGTTGTGCTGTACAAAGCTTGTGGCGGTTTTTGTTTATGATTCGGTTGAGGGCTTATGAGGGCTCAGGCTGTTGTTGCATCTGCGCGGAAGACTGGCTTTCGAAATTGAAGAGCGCTTAGCTTATGTCCCCGAAGTCCGTGCCGTGCTGAGCGAAGCGTTGGACCTCCAGCCCATGAACTAGAAGCATGAATGACTGGAGCTTCTTTGCAATTGCTTGTTGTTGTGCCCGTTCTTACCCAACAATCAGAAGCTTCGCATCGAGTACGCACATATACCGTTCTCAGCCATGTCACCAGTACAAGCATCAACAACCGAAGAACCGAATCAACAGTTGATCATGAGCATCGCAGTTTCAATCCCACCGAGTCGGATCCTCATTATGGGTATCCTCCTAACCTCTAACACCTTTATCATAATATCCCATAATACCGTTCCCTTGTATCAAAAACTGACGTCTGAATAGTTGGTATTACTCATCACTCATAATCTCTATATATGGCAAGGTGACCCCGGACTCTGCCAGAGTGCTGGCTCAGACCAAGTATTGCAATAAGGCGGGGCTGCCCAGGGGCGCGGGCAATGAAGGCTTATGTAAGGGATTTAGGGTTTAGGCGTTCCATTTCCCCCAACACCTTATTCTGATGATTCATGCCCCTATGTTCTGTCGATCCGTGATGATTAAACCCCTTTTCTTTAGGGCCTTGTAGAAGTTTCACAGGAGCCTAGGGTTTGGGGTCATCCCTAAACCCTGAAACTAGGGTTTTGGGGTTTTTGGGGGTTTGGGGGTTTCGTTTTTTTGGGGGTTTAGGGGTTTAGGGGTTTAGTTTAGGGTTTAGGGTTTAGGGTTGCTATTTTTGACAACCTGTATCTGCTCCTTCCTTCGCCTTCGCAGTGGCCATGTCCGGAGCTCTGAGGCTCAAGATCCCCTCAGTTCCCCTTTACGGATGAACTCAGCCAGAGGACCAGATACTTAAGATAGTTTAGGGTTTATAGGGTTTATAGGGTTTAGATATTTGGGTTTAGGGCTCAGGATCCCGGAAGTTCCCCTTTACGGATTAACTCAGCCAGAGGACCAGATACTTAAGATAGTTTAGGGTTTAGGATTTATAGGGTTTAGATGTTTAGATACTCTAGATAGTTTAGGCTTTAGGGTTTAGGGTTTAGAGAGTTTAGATATTTAGATGCTCTAGGGTGTTGGGGTATACTAGACCTGGGGCTATCGAATACTGTAGGATGTTGGGGGTAGATTAGAAGTACCCATAGGCCCCATGGTAGTTCCTTTTTGAGGGTTAGAATCCTATAAGGTAATCCCCAAAAAAGGAACTACTATTGGGCGAATGGGAAACCCTAAACCCTAAACCTCGCTTGTGAGCTTCGTTCTCTGCCATGCGAGAGGGAAAAAACCCTAAACCCTATAAGGGGAGGCAACTTCTTCCGGACTTTCCCCTCCAGGAGGGCAACTACAGCAAGGCTGTCAATGCAGTGAAGTGGCGTGTGCCGAAGGTCTGGGGGTTGAGGTCTTGCTGGAAGGTTTAGGGTTTAGGATTTAGGGTTTATAGGGTTTAGGATTTAGGGATTAGGGTTTAGGATTTGGGGTTTCGGGTTTAGGATTGAGGTTTCAGGATCTGGTCTTGCTGGAAGGGTCTGGTTGAGGCTAGGGTTTATAGGGTTTAGGCATCAGGAGTTGCATCTTGAGCCAGAACCCTAAGCCCTAGGCCCTAAACCCTGAGATCTACAGAGAGCCGGTTTTGTTTCTAGGATTTGTGGGCATCAATGTAGCGGCCTCAGCTTAGAAGTTGAGACAGGCTTGCAGCATGTTGCTGGCGTATTCCTCCGTCCTCGCTCAATCGTTCTCTCTCGCTCTCTCTTGTTCTTTTTCTCCGTTTTTCTCTCTCCCTCTCTCTCTCTCTCTGTCTTTCTCTCTCCCTCTCTGCATTTTCTTGCTTGCGCTGGCCTAATCGCCGGATAGTTCAAGGTCGCGGGTTAGAAGAAGCGAGATGTCCCATCTGGACCGGTCGTTCTTTGCTTTCCTGTGCCGCTCACTTGTACCAGAACCCTTTACTTGTAATGCCTGGAGCAGGACATTGCGAAGTGCCACCGGGCTGCAATCGGGAATGGGTATCTCCGCGCAGCGAAACCTGAACTTTCATCAAGCACTTGAACTTTGAACCCCACGCCCGAAACTCTAGAAAGCTTGCTTTGGTGTGGTTCAGAGCTGTACCGGCGGCGATGTACATGCTCGGAATGGGTGTCTAGCTGGTATGAACCGCTCTCGTCTCCAACTTCTACAACAACTGACAGACTCGGCAAATCTTCATAGTTCGTGCCATTCATTTCTACATGTGTTTTTAGTCTTTGACATGCATCTACCACAACACAATACTGGTCCACTATACTTCGCCGTCATTCTCAAGAACGGTTGAGAATCTAATGTTGCGGCAAATGAAGAAGAGGTATCCGTACTTATATCGAGGGATGCTTGAAGCAGCTATGTACTGTTAAATAGCTGCACAACGGTACGGTCGAAAACAGGAAGGAGTCACTCTGGACATCTCTGGACTTTCCTGGGCCACTGCAGCTATTGTTAACAACCGGTGCCGCCGGAGTGAGATGTGCGAAGACTACTGCAAGTTTGGCCCTGTACCTACCGATGTTGAATACTGACTCTTGGTGCTGATGCCGCTTAACGCTTATTTCCGCAGGACCAGGGACATTATAACTTGTAGTTTTGGCCCTGAAGATACATGTACAGTTTTCAATGCACGGACCCTCTGGGATACTTCTGCCGGCAAAAGGTATGGCCTTGTTCGTCGAAGTGCTGGAAGCCTTGATCGAGGGCATGTACTGGCAGGCAGTGGCTAGCGGGATTTAGGGTTTAAGGATTGTTCAGAGAAGATTTGGAAGTGTACTTGCATTTTGGGAAGACTTTCTTTCAGCTGGAAACGCACAGGCGCTAAAGACCTGCTTTTCGTTGAGCTTCGAGTAGCGGCCTGACTCGAGCTGCACAAGGTCAAAGCTTGCAAGGAGGTTTTTTTCCTGCTCCCTCCGGCCGAAGAAGTGACAGCCATATCTTCAGAAGCCTCCCTGGAGCCGCAAAGTGCTCCCTCCTGAACCAAGCATGCGCCAGCGCACACCCGAAGATGGCACAGCAGAAGCCCCAAACGGCACTAAGTAGGGGGCGCTGAAGCAAAGACTTCGGTTTTAGAAGCTTTCGTTTCGCTCAGTGGCCTGGAGAAGTACCTATCGATTCATACATACTTTTCAGGGGCCGAAGAAGTACAGCCCACATTTGGCCTAGCAATGCGGGAGGCGCGCAAACAATCATGTCTCGATGCTCTCGACCTAGCAAATATTCTTGGCAAGCTGGGTTATGGGGTTGATCCAGGGGTTTATAGAGAAGCGCATAGACCTCCTGAGTCGAGAAGTATAAGAGGAGACGTTGGTGCAGCCGTCCGGATGCTTCGCCTGCACAGAAGGGGGGGGGGGGCTGTTGCAAGCAACCGCGGATCCTGCTTATCGAATATTCCCTAAGTTAAGCCACAGCTCATGGCCACCTACAAGGCGGAGGCAGTAGACTGTAATTTTCAGGGTCCACTCAGGTAAGCGATTCTCGGGATTGAGATTCCAAGCTTCGGTTTCAGGTTGCTTGGGTTTAAAGATGTAGTTATGTAGGCCAGGTTGTGCAGGAGTTGGGATTGTATGGGATTAAAGCAACAGCTCCCTGCATGTAACGTGCAGGCTGAAGCGCGGCACAGACGTCGTAGCTGTCCGGCAGGTTTTGAGAGGCAAACAATAAGTACATGGTCTGATCGTGTAGTTCTAGATAAATGTAGATGGCACTGAATCTGCATGCACCCACAGTCCTGGATTCCAGGGAACCCCACACGTGGTCCTACGGCGCAAAACCCTAAACCCCTAAACCCTAAACCCTAAACCCTCATCCAAGGCTATTTGGATCCTTTTCTGAAGAACCAGGTCGTCAACGTCACCGGCTGTTGGCGCCAGACGCGCCCCATGTGAAAGTCAAGGGGTTTCGACTCAGGAACATTCTGGGTAACCCTAAACCCTAAACTCTAAACCCTGGGCAAGACCTATAACCGTTATAACCCTAAAATCTAGAACCCTAACCCTTTGAGATGTGGGGGTAGACTCTAGATCTGCCAACAAGCAGTAAAGTTATCAGAGGTAGTTCTTGATACCTCCCCTGTTTAGCCCTGTAAACATCATATCCCACAGCACTGTTCCCAAGGATTACCGATGTCTGTGGTGAAAGCCATAGTCGAGCGGCTAGATCCATCCCAATGTCATCAAGCAGACTCCAAGCACCCAGAAAGCCCCGAACCTGCCTGGGGCACAGAGTGATGTTGAGATCTTGAGGGACCCCAACAAAGACTTGAAGTATTACATCCTAATACCAGAAAGGAGCTAATATTTCTGTAGGGCTCCTGATTCCTCCCAGGCACGGCAATTGGCACCGAGTGGCCGCAGCTCGGAAAAAGCACTCAGAGGGAAGCGTGTTCTCCCCTTTGTCCGCAGACTCCACGTGCTGTTTATCGTAAGGTTCAACAACGGAAAACTGTAGAATATGGAGATGCCGGGCGAGTACCGAGCCCTCACCCTTCTAGAGGCGAAGGCTTCTTGTAGTTTAGGGTAGCTGCCCAATGCAAGGCGTCGACGCGCAAAACGGTATGCCTGAAGTTCAGTTCAATTCTCGAGTCGCGGCCGTAAGCCTTATAAACACTAAACTGTTTTGTGCTCAAACTTCTTTCATGCGCAGGAGTCGCCAGAACAGATCCTCCAAAGACTGCTGAAGCCTGAACTTCCCTTTTATTGTAAGCTAATAAGTCTCTACTGTGGAAAAAGCATGCGACGACCGCAAGAAGTACTCCCAAGTCTGGAAATCTTTGAACTCCCTGCGAGCCTAAGCATATTGTCCTTTTGTGCTTAAACAATTCTCCGACATCCTAAGCACCCTGAACCTTGAGCTACACGACATGTGCCTTCTTAAACCCTAAACCCTAAACCGTTTTGTGTCGACGTTTTTGGGATTTCCGGGAGAGGGGCGGTCTGAGATTCGGACCCAGAGTCCCGGACCCTGAAGGAAAGGTCGATGGCATGAGTAGGGGCCTTAAACATTAGAATAGGGTTTTGGGGGTTCCTTTAAAGGGATCCTTAAAGGGTTCTATAAGGGATCTACAGTTCTAGTAGGGCTCTATATTAGGGGCCTTAATAATTAGAAGAGGGTTTGGGGGTTCCTTTAAAGGGATCCTTAAAGGGTTCTA